CCTTCCTCTCTCTCCTCTCTCTCTCTCTCATTTACCCATTTAGTCCTAGTTCCGACTCACCCAAAAGTTACCCTTACACTTAAGAGATTCTGTCAAGTGTCCAGTGCTTTGCAAAGGTAACTGCTGTTGATGAAATGCCTATGTATTTTGAAGCCAAGAGCCACTCTTGGCTTTTTCTGCCCCTAGGGATATCTTATTGGAACCAGACCAAGGACTAAGAATATAGCGGAAGCAGGGCCAGTCGAAATCAGCTCCACCCAACCAAGGCTGGCACCCGCTCTACCGCTGAGCCCAGGCACCAAGCCAAGCTGCCAGTCGGCGCTCCCTGGGACATGTCATGCCCACGACTTAGAGACGCCCACTGTACCTAAGAGAGAGCTGGCCTTCCTTTAAAGCCCCATCAAGCCCTTTCCTTGGTGGCCAATTTAAAGTTACTGCATCCAAATTTTATTTAATTATTTGGCCAAGACCAGTGCTTCAGGTGCCAGAAGAAATGGGTTTTGCTCCAAGCTTCTGGGATTAGCCATCTGACTGAAAGCCAGAGTGTGAGGAGTTGTAGGTGAGTCTGCTCGTGGCCCTTCCTTAGGAATGGTTCCTGGTGAGCTCTAGAGTCACCGAATGGGCGAGTTAGACCTTGAAGGAGAGGAAGGTGGAAAGGGCAAGGTGCCGGCATCCTTTCTCTCCACTGCTTGGTTTTAACCAGAGGAGCTGGACTGGGCTTGATATTCTGGAATTCTGCAAAAGATTTTGTCTTTAAAAATGTTCTGCTCTTTACAAATGGAAAGAAAGAAGGAAGGACGGTGAGCTAGAAAACACTTACCTAAGCGGATCTATTGTACAGACAGGAGATGAGAAGATTCAGATTCAGAAAGGCAAATAATTTTTCCCAGGGCCACACAGCAAAAAGGTAAGAGGAACAAGAATTAAATCAGTACTTTTATTTTTATTATTTTAGCTTTCAGGCTTCTGCTTTTTATGCTATTCTAGACACATGAATGTGTGCATGTGCAAGTATGTATGCAATTTTCAAAAATCATCTAGTTCCCTTAGAGCCTCTCTAGTTACCACTGCGAGCCCAGGTTTTAGCATAAGGAGAGCAGAGAGCCGCCCCAGGAGAGGGGGCGCGGGCCCTCATTGCCCCTCTTGTCCTGCCCGCTCTACAGACGTCCACTCTCTTTCTCCCTTGGCTTTAGTTCATTGTCTACAGTGGAGAAAGTCTAGGGGAACTGGTTTTACCTCTGGCATCCTATTACTTTATCATTTTAGGTATATTCTCAGAATTTTCTGGACATCCATGCAGGATTTAAAATAGGGCAGGTCCAGTGGCCTTGGGATTGAGGCAAACTTATAGTGTCTCCATAGTAAATATTTTAAAACCCTGTATTTAACTTCAACAAGCACTCCCTGGGCACCTATAATATGCCCAACACTGTCACAGATGAGAAAGAATGAATGAAAACAGAAAACACATATTTTTCTCCCACAGACTAGTCTCTCTCGGTTTCCTTCATCATACCTACGGCGTCATCGGAACCGCGGTTATCCCCTGCGCCTCAACTATACCATTCATTTTGGAATGACCACGTTAGAACTGGATTCCTTTTGGCCTTGGTGTAGAGCTTTGTTAAAATGTAAAGGGACCTGCCCAGGCCCAGGAGAGGAAAACTCCTTCCACTGATTTTAAGCTCGGGTCCAGGCTTGCCAGGCCACTGGGGCGGGGAAAGGGTCACGCCTGCCGCAGCTACGCCTCTCACGCGGTCTCCTGCGTTGCCCAGCCCGCGGCCAATTCCTTCTGCAGCATCAGCGAAAGAGAACAGGCGCTGCGACCAGAGAATTGAGGGTTATTTAAATTTTGACTCAGTCACTTAATAACTCCCTGAGCTGCCATAACCCCAGTGAGCTTCGGGTCTGAAATACGTGGCTTTTGGAGTTGATGCAAAGGGAACTTGTTCAGCAAATGGAAGGAGACGCCTACTATGTGCCTGGCACTGTGGAAGGCGCTGAGGTGGTGCCCTCCCAGACTTTACAGCCAAGAAAACAGGCAAACAAAAGTAAATACAAAGCATGGTGTTATGAAAGAATACGAAATAAGCCGGCATGTTGCTGTAAATACCGGGGATAACGTAAGTGAGGGACGTTGGGTCAGCGGAGCCGTGATTATCCCATGCAAGTTCGGGCACCGGGTTTAGGCAGCCGGTGCAGTGAGAGCCGGCCTTCAGTTAGGGATGAAGAATCCTGCATTCAAACCCTGGCAATTGTGATTATTTTTTAAGTAGTAAACATTATTTCTTTTTTCTCTTCGAAACTTGCTGTCAGTTATTTCATTTCGTTCTCACCACCGGTGAGGTAGTCCTTTTATCGCCCCTGTTTTTGCAGTGGAGGGAAATCAAAAGAATTGCTGTGCCAGCGTGACCGAGGAGGAGAGACCAGCTCTGTCTACATCAAAGCCCTGCTTGGGTGACCGCAAGTGAGAGGATGGATGTGAAAATGCTGCATAAACTAAAAAATGCTGTAAAAATAAGTGGTGGCGGTTCTCAGACCATGCAAACTGACACACACACATATTGTGCTCATACACTCTATTTCTGTACATATGATTTCTATCTGCTCCATTTCTACACGAATGCAGAAATTAAATTTCCTCATAAACTTAATGTATGTCATATGCTCTATATTTCTACATCTTCAGATAATTCAGGTCAAATCGAGGGGTTATCGATAATCATATGAAATAAATGGCAATCGGCTTTTATCACATTCTTAAAATGCAAGAGACTAGATATAATAGACTCTTGGGTTGCAAGAGGAGAGAATTATGAGGCATCTTGCTAAATAGGCCTTTGATGGTAACTGTGGACGTGCAAGACCGGGGGGCGCGGGGTGGTTGCCTGGCCGTGTGTAGCCCCGTCCTGGTGACTGGCGCAGTCCCACCCCAGGGGAGCGTGGCCAGACCAAGCCCCCGGAGGGCGCAGCGTTTTCCTCGGTGCCCGGGCCCTCGCCTCCCCGGTTGCCCGCGGCTTCCACCCTCCCACGCCGCCCTCCGCTGCGGCCTTAACCCCGCAGTCGCTGCCCGCTGCCCTGTTTACAAGCAGGCAAGTAAAATTAAAACAGAAAACCACAGAATTTGCATGTTCCCGCTCTTGTCCACAGGCGAAAGGTCAAACCTCAAATGGGATATTCATGTAGTGCGCCTGTTAGGTGCAGGCCCAGGCACGCGGGGAACCCCAATGAACAAAGGAGACAAAATGCCTGCAAATCCTGGGCTTTACTAAGCTCACACTCTAGTGGAGGGTGACAGGCAATCAGTAAGCAACAAACCAATCAGTTATACGCAACGGCAGACGGTAATAAGTGTTATCAAAAGAGCAAGGCGAGCCCGGCCGGGTGGCTCAGCGGTTGAGCATCGGCCTAGGATCCAGGAGATCGGGGCTCTATTCCCGGTCAGGGCGCAGGCCCGGGTTGCGGCCTCGATCCCCAGTGGGGGGCGTGCAGGAGGCAGCCGATCAATGACTCTCTCATCATTGATGTTTCTATCTCTCTCCCTCTCCCTTCCTCTCTCTGAAGTCAATAAAAACATATATATTTTTTAAATCTTGAAAAAAAAAACCCAGAACAAGGCAAGGTAAAGGGGGTACCAAAGTCTAGAAGTGGAGAGAAAACTGAAATTAGCTATGAATATGCAATTAAATAGCAGCATACGCAATGATATACGCCGTACGTATATACATGTGAAACAATTAACCACATGTCCTTGCTGTGACTTATGTTTCCTGCCTGTCCCATGCATTATGAGGACTCTCTTGCACTTCGTGGTAATGTTTAATTACTTTCTATTACTAATGTTTTCTATTACTAATGTTTTATTACATCTGCATTTAGCTCTATAAACACACGGTGCAAGGTGTTTGATCAGTTGATAATATTTGTGCAAATTGAGCATTAGCACTTCACAGTGTTGAGGGTTTTTTTTTAAACCCTTTCTTGAATCTTTAAACGGGATGCCAGCTTTTCACACCTCTAAGTGCTTCACTCTACTGCTTTAAAAAGAAAGAACATCCTGACCCCATACAGAATAAACTATGATAAGAAACACAAAACTGCCTCTCTGGCCATTTAAATTCTTGACAGGCTTATTTTCTTTAAAAGAAAGAGTGCCTAGGATAAATTCAAGTGGCTCAATAAGTCAACCACAATGTCTGGAGCAGGTGACAAAAAGGGGGTACTTAGTCCCAGTACTAGTAATAACGTCCTTTGGCATAGTGGTGGCACTGAGTGAAGGTGGTGACCCAAATGATGCGAAGATGCCAGCCTGTTCTGGGGCACGCCGCTGCTCCACAGGGAAAGGCCTCAGTGAGGGTGATCATGAACTCCAGGGAGGACCCAATGGATGTCGCAGGGGCTTCTGCGTCAGGGGGAGGTAGGACATTCGCCCTCAGTCTCTTCTGAGCCTGGGAGTTTATGGCTCCATGACAGGTCGACACTGTGTCTTCCCCTGGATTTTCATGGCCATAGGAACCCCCCTTTGGGGCTCTGAAGGCAGCAGAAAGGAGATCCATGGCCGTGGGGAGGAATATCGGCACGATGACCAGTTTCACCCTGCTGGGACTGTCAGAGCGCCCGGAGCTGCAGGTTTTCCTCTTCGTGTTGATCCTGGGGACCTGTTTGGTGACTCTGGCTTGGAACCGGGGTCTCGGTGTCCTGATCAGGCTGCAGGCGCACCCCCGCTGGCCCATGCCTCCCTCCCTCGGTAGCCTGCCCTTTCGATGTCTCCCCCACCTCCTCTGCAGCCCCTGAGATGCCCTGTGACTTCCAGGAGCAGGGGCCCGTCTCCTCTTGGTCGGGACGGGGGCCCCGGGCGCTGCCGTCCGCAGCCTCGGCCCTGCACGGCCCTCCTGTCCCCTGCCGGCTGCGTGGGGATGGCCGCTGCGGCAGGCGCTGGGGGTCCCTCCCGGGCTTGGTCCAAGCCGCTTCCACATTCTCTCCATGCCCGTGGGCCGCGAGTCATGGACCACGTTTTGTGACCGGCCACCCCTGCTGGCCTTGTCTTGTTCTAGTACCTTCCGCAGGCAGGTAGTGAGCTTCCTTGTTGTGTGTGCCGTTGGTGGGACATCAGCTCTTGTCGCCCTGGGTCCCCCGGCTCCATCATGACTGCTGTTACGAAGGTCCATTCAGCCCAAGGGCGGACGGAGCTCTCAACACCTGGGCCCCTCATCTGACCACAGCGACTCCCTTCTTGGGCTCCGGGCTCTTCTCAGGTGGAACATTCTAGTGCTGGACACTCAGGGGACCAGGAGAAGGTGGTGTCCGTGTTCTGCGGGGCCGTGATCCCCACGCTGAGCCCTATCGTATATAGTTTGAGAAACAAGGAGATCAAAGACGTGTTGAGAAAACACAAGGAGAGGAAGAAGCGAGTGTCTTCTATGTGTCTTGACTTAGTTCCTTGAATTAAAAAAATCTTGAGCTTCGCTGGATGTAAACAGGCATATTAATAAGCGACTCACAGAATCTGAGTAATAAATTAAAGAAGCTATTTCAAATAAGACCCCCAACCTACATCTCTGCAAAATAATTAGGCTCCACAAAAGTTTGTTTTCTTCCCTTTACTTTTCTTGTCATCGGCCAATAGGGTTTTGACCTTGGTCATCTGCAACAGAAAAAAAATATGCTTTTCCACAACATGCCTTAGCTTTATGGCATCAGGTGGCGAGTCCAGGGTACAATGCCTTAGAGCCAACTAGGGCACGGCCCCAGGACCACGAGCATGCAATAGAGGCCTCTTTACAATATAACACTGCTCATGTCAATTGGGACACGTTTTATGTTTCCCTTGCCATGGACTCCTACTTATTCAGGGGTTGATGCTGACCAGGAAGGCTGACTCTGGAATAAAAACCTGAGAACCCTGAGTTGGGCTCAGCAATGGCTAGTCAGAGCCAGGAGAGCAGTAAGGTACCAGTAAACGTGTCTGGGCAGAGCCAAGGATCACACCACTGGAATCTCAAAGTCTCCTGGGGCCAGAAGTAGGAGCCAAACCCAGCACCCAAGTTGTAAACTTACAGTGAGCAAAGAGCAGAGGTAAGAGCAAGTGAGAAGACCTAGAGGATAGGGTGCCATGAGGTTAATTTTCTTAGTGGCTGGGTGGGACCACCCTGGTGAAGGCCCAGGGCGAAGGAAGAGGCGTTTCCCCTAGACGCCCTGATTTCATATCTGCTTTCTAGACCAGGCTCACTCTTGGCCTTGTATGGACATTTCACTCACTCACTGTCCTCACTCCAGCTCCAGTTTACTTCCGCTTCATGTGCTGGAGCTGGACGCTGTGCCCCGCATCCCTGGGACTGGAGCTCAGCCTGTCCCACGGTTCTGACATCCTCCATTTCATCTTCCTGGGTTATCTCAGAAGGGCCCACGATCTGAGAAAGGGTGTGATCTGAGATAGGACAACCAAGTTGCAAGAGTCTGCAGCAGAACCGAATGTGAATTTTAAATTGTCTCAGTCTATTTTATAAGATAGTTCTTGAGTAAAAGACAAACATTTCTGAAGTTCTGCTTCTTTAATGGTATATAAATCCTAGTAACGACAGCCGTCCCGAAGTCATACCAACTTTGGCTTCAACTATTCTGCCTCAGGCGTTTTTTCCAGTTCATGCCTTTGTTTGAGTTGTGCTCTGACCACTTGGGTAAGAGGTACTGCGATGTGTTCCCCTGTCATCTTCTATTTCATCCATCAGCACTTAGGAAACTGTATTATTTTTTCTTGTATAGTTATCTGACTTCAAAGTTGTTAACATCCTTGTTTAAACTGCTCCCTATTGCTTCTCCAAAACATAGGACATGACTGGGACAAACAATGTGCTTAATAAATATTTGTTTAATCAATGAACAAAAAAATCCAAATTCACTTGACAGATAATTTAGAGATTTTTATGCTAAGGAAAGGAACAAACACTTACTGAATGCTTATTATATGCCAGGCACTGTGCCCAGTGGTTTAAAAAAATTGGATTTTAATTTGTTAACATATGCACAGATTCCTTGTTAAAAAAATTAAAACATTATAGATAAGAAAATTTCTCTTTGGATCATAACCCTCAATTTCAATTTTATCCTGGAGTCCCCAAGAGGTTACAACTATTTATGTTGGTATGTAAATTGGCATCTTTTTTTTTGCATATAAATATTTACATATGGACCAGTTGAAAATATTTAATACTACTTTATGTGGCTCTGTGTGTGTTTACATAAATGGCATTGTACTGAATGTTCATTTTATACATTGCTTTTAAAAAATTTAACATTATTTCTTAGAGTTCTTTTTATGCTAGACATATAAATATACCTCAGTCTTTTTAATTGTTCCATAGAGTAGATATAACCAAAACTTAGGTACCTCTTCCTTCATTGGTGGGCATTTAGGTAGTTTCCAGTTTTTGCTAGTGTACTGCAAATGGTGTTGCAATGTGCATGTTTGTTCATGCCTCTTCATGCTAACATGCAATGAGATGGCAGAAACCGAGAAGCTGAATCGCTGCTTATAGGATATGGGTGCTTGGAAATTTTAATAGACATCGTCAGTTTCTCTAAAGCGCCTGTCAGTGAGGCGCCTGCCAGCCGTGTGCCAGGGCACCCACCTCCTCACACCCTCGGTGACAGATAATATCACCAAAACTTATTTTCCCCTCTACCTGATTGGCTCTTTATACAGGGTGGGGCAAAAGTAGGTTTATGGTTGTTTATATGGAAAATAAGACAATAATTAATAAATAACACAAGAATAAACTCTATTTTGTATACTCACAACTGTTGTGAGCCTCCTTTTGCCCCACCCCGTATGTATTTTAATCCTTAAAATGACCCTGGATAGGATAGGCGTTGCTGATTGTTCTTGGTTACACACAATGTCCTACGTAAGGACTCGTCATATGCTTTTTTTTTTTAGTTCTCACAGCCACACTATGAGATAAGTGTTTTAACCATATTTTATCTAAGAGGTGAGATTTGTAAAGCTCAGGAAGGAGGTTAAGTAACACGGGCACACGCCAAGTCGGGGAGGCTCTGAGTGCGTTTCTACACAACACAAGGACCATTGACTGAAAATACATATTCTCACACAAATGCTTGGCATCGTTCAGACACAAAGAAAAATGTATTAAAGACTATGTGTGGTGCCAGGCGCTTTGTAAAGTACGTGATTGTCTAACCACTATGCTGTGCACCTGGAACTAATACAAAATAATATTGAAAATCAACTGTAAGTGAAAAATAAAATTAGAAAAGTACATTAAAGCAAAGTCTGTCAAAACTATTTTCTCAAGTCAAGCATGATTTAAGTGTATTAAGAGAAAGGAGAACAGACTGACGCTTAAATGGTTAGGGGTAATTTCAATAAGAAATTTCAATAAGATCTTCACTTAAGTTACATACCAGCAGTGAGGAGCTGTAAACCCCGAGGGGAAAAAAGACCTACTAAGTGTTTAGCACACAACAGTGTATCAGCTTCCACAGGGAATTGTTTGCGCTGGAGGACTCCACTCTGGAACAACTGCCTTCTTAACAACAATTCTTTTGTATTTGTTCCATCGACCCTGCGAATCCTATCACCGAACATGGAAACATAAAATCTTTCTACATTGGTTGCTGAGAAATTTTGAGTAAAATTGTGCCCCACTAGTGGCAAGAATTTAGGTCACTCTGGTGTGTGCTTTGATTTGTATTCCTGGCTCTGGTCTGCGGCCCCACTTTTTTCTTTTCGCCATTGTTTGATCTGATATCTCGTATTTTTTTTATGGATCTTTCAAGCTGCCTGCTCCAACATTTTGGTGCAAAGTCGAGTTTGCTTTACCCACCAGGTTGGTGCATTAGAAAGGGAATTTGTCATGGAGTTTTAGTCACCAATGTCTCTGACCTCCGCTTGGATCACACCCATCTGCCTAACCCGGAGTCGTCCTAGACCCCCTCGTCATTCTCCCAGGGCCTTGTCACATTCTCGCAAATTGCTTCTTTCCTCTGGACTTTCATTTCCTCCTTCACAAAATTCGAACTCAGAACCAAGGAAGGGACCCTCTGAGTGTCGGAAAGAGAGAACTCAGAAGCCGAGCAGCGAGCGGGAGCTGCGCCCTGCGGCCGAGGGGCTTTCTGCGCCAGCACGGGCCTCGCCGCAGTGCCCTGGGGCTTCCAGGGCTGTGGGAGGCGGTCCGGGCCACCCGTCGTGTGTACAGCGCTCGAGGGGGCTGCAGCTGTCCTGGGAGTCGAGAGGGGCTGCCTCGCCGCCACACACACAGCAAAGCTCCACCCACCCACCGGTGCAAAGTGGCCGGGAGGCTTGCGGCCTTCCAAGAGAGATCAGAGCCCCAGGCTTGTGTTCACACAGATGTTGGTGGTTGTTTTTAATTCTAACCCAAGGATATTTTTTCTATTGCTTTTCAGAGAGAGTGGAAGGGAGAGAGAGAGAGAGAGAAACAGCGATGTGAGAGAGACACATTGATTGGTTGCCTTCTGCGGGCTCCCCGATCGGACCAGGGATCGAGCCTGCAACCGAAGTATGTGTCAGCCATAATCGAACCCAGGACCTTTCAGTCTGAAGGCTGGGGCTCTAACCAATGAGCAAAACCGGCCGGGGCCAGATGTTGGGTTTTAATTCACATGGAGGCCAAATCAAGAAATTAGCA